CTCTCCCTCTCTGCCCCGTTTGTCTTTGTTGAGTGTAGTGTTTGGCGTGATTTCAACAATCACGGCGCGCCTGACCGACGATACCTGGACCGGCCTTGATTTTCAAAGATTGCCTCGGCAATCTACTCTTTTTTTTGGCTTTTTCTTCTCCTTCATTCTGTTCTTAAACTGAGGCCTGTGAGAGAGCAGAGCAGAAAGATGCAAACTCCCTCTACCATTACTCTGCCAATTCTCTCTTTGGAGGCATTACCCTTTCCTGATATTGCCTCTTCTCATTGTCCTCTCACTCTCTTCCCTAACCTTAACGATTCCCTAATCGAAAATGTTGAGGCCAACACGTCTGAGCCTCAGCAGAGTGCCCCTGGCCCTGCCCCTATTCTCAATTTTCTTGCGCTGTCAATCGAGCAAACAATGGCAGCACAGTCTGATATCGATGCCAATCACTTCACATTGAAGTCCTGTGTGGAGACGGTGACCGCGGTCTCCAATTTGTCCCACTAGCTGCAGAATAGGACAAGTGAAGTACACTGATTAAACGCCTAACTCTCCTTGTTCCAACGTATGTACAAGGATGCTCAAGCAGAAATTAGTATATTGAAAAAGCAGAAGAAAGAGCTGAAACGACAGGCCACCTCTATGGCCCGATTCAAAGTTCTTCCATACTCCACATTTGATGGCCAGCGGGGAGTAATTTCTTTTGAAAGCTTTGCCAATGCTGAGGTAAAGTCTTCAAAGGCCTCCCTATAGTGAAAATGTGGAGAGGTAATTAATGGTAGAGTCGAGAGACGAAGCTGCCTACAGATGAAGTCCATTTGCAATCTTCGCCGCTGGGCTATTGCCGAAATCCGAGAAAAGTTCCTTTCTATTTTTTGTATTTTCAGTTTTATTTTTTGTTTTTGGTCTTTTTTCTTTTTTTTCTTCTTCCTTTTCTGTTTTTACATAGGAAAGAGCACCAATGCTTCTGATTTTTCTTTTGTTGTTTTTGAAATTTCTTTCCTTTTTTTGAAATGTTGATCGGTGCTTCACCCTAAAGTTTAATAAAATGAGTTCTATTTTTTTTTTTTGCACATCATGGCATGAATGGCACAACACTTGATCATGAAAATATTTTTTTTTTGAATTTGAATCTGAGAATGGTTGACTCTTAATGAAATCTGAATTGGACATTGAGCCCTCAACTAACCAGAAATCAAAGAACAACTCAATGAAAGAAAAACAAAGCAAAAACAATCCAAACACACCTATTCACACTTGTTGAAATGAAATATACTCAAATCACGACTCAAAAGGACACACAATTGAACCTACGCACCTTCTGCAGTTTTCCATTCTGGATTCAAAAATTGGTCGGCCGGCTAATTGATTAGCTGGCCAGCTGATTTGTTGTCCAAGTAGCTGAAAAAATTGACGGGTCGACTAATTCATTAACTAGCCAGTTGAATGAATTGATGAACTGGCTTAAAAATTGGCCGTCTAGCTAAGTGGTTGACTGAAACAATCAAGAAGCACACCTGGAGTCAACTAAAAACTTGGACGACTGACTAAATTGTTAGCCGACCGGCTAAAATATGCACGAAACTCAAGTGCGTGGGGAGAAGACAAAATTCCTGACTCGACTATACCCCTAGTTCATCGCTTTGACTTTTTCTTTGTTTCTTTTTTTTTTGGTAAAAATATTTTGAACAATATGAGTGTTAGATTAACATGCTTGTTTCACGCTTTGTTTTGAAATCATGTAAGTCAAGTCGTGAGCACTTAAAAAAAAAATTTTATTTTTTTTTGGTCTAAGAAATGGTCCGGTGCTGCAAAAAATGGAATAATTTTCAAGAGAATTCGTCAACTTCATTAAAAGTCTCCAAAATTTGTTTTCGCAACTGGCCACTACCCAACCAACATGGAATCAACCCTTGAGATGTACAAACTCAAATTAGATAACCCGAGCTTGATTTGTCTTCCAACTGAATCTTCCACGAACAAGAGATAGGACAATCGAATCGAATGAAGATAAACCAGTTGAACATGGACAACACAGCCAAGTCGAGTCAACATATACCAATCAAACATGGATGAGATGAATAAATTGAAAATGGTTAGGGACAAACATTAGGATGAAGCTACTTATGTATCCCAAAGATAGGAATTAGGCCTTACGCAGTTCCCAAGTAAGGTTCACTCTGCTATTAACACTCTCCTTTTACGTTCTAAATTTTTCCAAAGCTGCCCTTCCGAGTTTTCGACCTTGTGAGCTCTATTTTTTCATTTTTTATTTTCCTTTTATTTTTTTGTTTTTTTGCTCTAATTTTGCCTGGGTCGCCCTTCTAGGTTTTCGGCTTAGCGAGCCTCTCAAAGATAGTATTTTTTTTTTCCCAGCTTGTCCAAATTGATTGATTGGTTGTGAGATATCTAGGCCACCTAAATTGATAAGAACAATCGCTCTTCCTGACCAAATAGTTTTGATGATGATGTAGGGCCCCGTCTAATTGGCTGTGAATTTGCCCCTAGGGTCATGAATAGGAGCCCAATTGTCCTTCAATAATGAATCTTCTTTTCTTAGATTCTAAATTTGACTTTCTTTCCGGTATCCATTGGTTTGAGAAATGACCCGGTTTGAATCTTTGATCACATCCGACCTTTTTGCCTATAGTTCGAGGGCTACTTCCAATCCAGCTATGCATGCCTTCTTCGATCACATCTGACCTTTTTGTCCCTAGTTCAAGGGTAGCTTCCAATCCTACTATGCAAGCCTCATATTCTAGGTTATTATTGAACATTCTGAATCACTGTTTGAAAGCTAGGGGGTCAAGTTCCAAGGTCAAGAGTGATCCTATGCTATACAATCTCAGGATCAATTCCTAGCATGTCTTCATAGGACCACACAAAAACATTTTTTTGAACTCTTCTAATAAAACAACTAGTCACTCGTACTCCTCTTAAGACAATGTAGGACCAATCTGGATAGAGCTTCTAATAAAACAACTAGTCACTCGTACTCCTCTTAAGACAATGTAGGACCAATCTGGATAGAGCCAGGATCATTCTCAATACCCACATTAACAACAATGATCTTAGCTATGAAAGACTTAACAAGCCTCTCTTCCTTTCATTCGATCAAATTTTAAAAATCCCGAGGAATTCCTTCCTCTTCCTTTTCATCAAAGTTTTGGAAAAAAGTTTTGAAATTTTTGGTCAATACAATGAGTTACAAGCACAGAGAAGTACGTAAAAATTACTGCATCTTTCATTCAGAACTTCTAGCTTAATGATTGAAGCAGACTCGAGGAAAAGAAAATACAGACACAAAAAGGACAGTAATGCTCGGGTTATCACCTCTGAAATCACTAGACTCTGACTCACAAGACTGACTTGATCCTGATTCCAACTCCACAGGCTTGGCGAAATTAGGTTCAGACTCAACAACAAATTCAGTGAGTAAAATGGAAACATTTTGAAATTGCTAAAATAGTGCATGTCATCCACTATGTCAGGAATGAGATTTGTTCAATCAGCAGGTGATCCATCCTCGATCACAGCAATAATCATGATATCCTCCCGAGTTTACTTGTCCTATGCTAGTTTCAAAATCTATCACATATTCAGCCAGCGTCAGACCCAGAACTTCTTCAGTGCTTCTTTGTTACATGATTAATCCATGGCTCTAGAAAACCATAAGGAGAGAAGTGCATGCCTATGAGAATATCTGCCATAATGCCCAATTTTGGCTCCAAATCATTTGCCACCACAGAGTTTTGGGGTTTTGGCTGGGATTGAGGTGTTCCTATCATGAATAAATCAATGCCCTCTAGAATAAGCACCTTAGGTTTAGGTAGATAGGAAGGTGTGATGTATATGTTAGGGTGGTAGTGTATAGATAAGGTTGAGATGGGAAGGCGGTGGGACTTGGTCATGAGGTGGCAATGGATTGGAGGTGGCCTTGGCTTTTTGGGGTGGAGCTATGATTTTATTGTCAATAAGATCTTGAATCCCATGATTTAGTTGGAAGCAATGGTCAATATCATGACCGTGTTGTTGGTGGAAGACATAGCACTTGGTGGGATCATGGCTACGTAGAAGTGGATTAGGAAGGGGTTGGAGATCAAAGAGCTTGAGGTGCCCCCTTTTCACTAGAATTTCCATGGCACGGGTTGGAGACATGTAGAGAGGGTTAAACCTTTGGTTTCAAGGTTGGGTTGAAGTGGTCGGTTGTAGGCTAGAGTTAGCAAAGGGGTTGGTTATGTTAGCAGTGTTTGCAACGACAGTGTTGACTTCTGAAGGCATCGAATTGGTAACTGTGCTACTATTGGGAGTAACATTGGAACTGTGATTGAACATCTTTGTCATGTGCTCATTTCCATTTGCAATGATCTCTTGTTTGATAGTATCCTCAATTTGAACCCCAATCTCGTGGAGGTCATTTAAGTTGAAGAGTTGAAGAACTATCATTTTCTGCAATAATCCTCCATGCAGATTTTTGACCACCGTACGGACTTGATCTATTTCTAAAGGTCGACTTGTCATCATCGTTGCTTTTTTCCTCCACTTGGTGATGAATGCCATGAAGCTATTGTTGGGCTCGTGTCGGGTCCTCTCCAGTTCTCGAGTGGGTACTTTGATCTAAGTATTATAGGAATACTGGGGGACGAAAGCCTCAGCTAATTCTACCAAACTCTGTTTTATTGAGTCCTCTAGCTTGGCATACCAGATGACAGCCACCCCTTACATGATTCTTCCGAACAAGGAAAACTTTTAAGCTAGAGATAGGCCCATCGGCTTCAGAATGTCTGAGAAGAGGTGAATGTGAACCATAAGGTCACTAGCCTCATCAAAATCTATCGCATTTTAAACCACTCAGGCAACCTCACAATTGTTTCTATAAGCCCATCCTCGATGTTTGTAATAGAGTTAATCCTTTATGATTTTTTGAACATTTTCTTTGACTTGGCTAATTTTAGCATAGTCGAATCAACTCTATCGGTATCTGTGGAGAACAATCCTCCCATTGGTTATGTGAAAACCTTCAAGTCTTCTTGCAAATTGGGGTCAAGAAGTTTCTCAGCTGGCGGAGGTGGTTCCAGAACATGATGAAAATTGGGGTCAAGAAGTTTCTCAGCTGGCGGAGGTGGTTCCAGAACATGATGAATCACTGGAGGATGATGAGATGTAGACGCCCCAAATGGGCGTTGCAATTCGGCAAAAGCCTCCTTGTTAGTGACAACCTTATTGGTAATACCATTCATGCTTTGTTGAAGGGCCAAAAGAATGCTTGCTATATCTACCGGAGGTTGGTCCATTATTGTTGGAGGTTGATCTGTCACTTCTGGAGTTAGGTTCATTACTACTGGAGGTGGATTTGTTGCTACTGGAAGTGGGTCTGTCACTACTGGAAATGGGTCCATTACTATTGGAGGTGGATCTATCACTACTGGAAGTGGGTCCATTACCATTGAAGGTTGGTCCATCACCACTGAAGGTGGATCCATCACCACTGAAGGTGGATCCATCACAAATCCTGGAAATTCTGGCTGGCAAGGTTGTAACAATGAGGTTATAACCTTCCTTCTTGTGACTGGTGGCAGAGAAACTAACACTCATTGTCCTTGAACCAAATCCACGGTTCTACTAAGTCTACCAGCATGAGTCCACAAAACTTGGCTGATATAAGACTGTTTTGAAGCTATAGTGCCATGACTACCAAGCAAAAACAAAACGCAACTCCCAATTAGAATTTTGGCAGCATTTCGACTCAACAGATCATTACACACACTGAACTCAACCCCTCAAAATGATATGTTTGACCTACTGATAAGATTTTTTGAACCCCAAATCCCATACATTGCACATAGCAGGAAAGAGAACAAACACCCCTATGAAGGGTAGGGTTACCCTGTCCTAACCTTGAAATGGTCTAGGGTTTCACTATTCACACAAGTGGCATTATATATCCTAGCATGGGGTAGCATCATGCCCTAATGTTTGAGGTTACTAGAGCTTACTACATGCTCCAGGTCAATTTTGGTCAAAAAAGGATACCTTAGCAAGACATCGATATACTTAACCAATCTAGCGGATCAAGCATTATGTGGTGATCCCGATTCCAAGGCTGGTGCACCCGCCATATTAGAGCCTATGACCGTCTATCTGCCTGAAGCCAAATAGTCGTCCAAGATAACAAGGGATGAGCACGGAACTTAGGCGCACCAATGCATAAAATGCAATAAACATATAATTAAAAATAAAAATCATATCATGGTGTTCGAGTCAAGGTTTCTTAATATCCTCAGTAGAGTATCCAAAAACTGTAACATCACATGGGAGGTACCCAAGCGTGTTAACAGTTCGGACCCTCGATTTCTTCGATCTAGTCTCATGAGTGCAATGTGAAGCATAGATGAAAGTCCTGATTTGGAAACTTTTATAGAAAATCCATTTTATTGCAAAAACCTTCGCTAGAAATGGACTGCGCCATCAGATCTCAAAGTTGCCACCTAATGTTTTGGAAAAATTAGGAAACCTATGGCTCGTGTCAAGGCCACTGTTCGTCCTAACCAGAAAAATTAGGAAACCTATGGCTCGTGTCAAGGCCACTGTTCGTCCTAACCAATGATGCTTGGCTTGGAACCTTAGGTATGAGGGGAGAAGGTCATTAATTGAGCAACCCCCGCTCACCCGATCAAAAGATCGGCCTCTATTGAGTCATGATATGATTTTTATTAATTTTATATATTTATATTTTGGTTATTTAATAAATCCTAAAATTTACTAGGTGAAGCAAACAAATATAGACTACGTCATCTATTTTCCACTGTTCGTCCTAACCAAGGATGCTTGGCTTGGAACCTTAGGTATGAGGGGAGAAGGTCATTAATTGAGCACCCCCCGCTCACCCGATCAAAAGATCGGCCTCTATTGAGTCATGATATGATTTTTATTAATTTTATATATTTATATTTTGGTTATTTAATAAATCCTAAAATTTACTAGGTGAAGCAAACAAATATAGACTACGTCATCTATTTTGGAACAACTTGATTTCATTATCTTGAAAATGTTTTGAATAGTGTAATCATGAAAATCAATTTTATTCCAAATTAAATAACACGACCTTCACCCACTAGCATGCATAAAATTATATCAAATAAACACATAGCCACATGGTAGGATGCTAAACATGGTAAGAAAATCACACACAGGCGGGATGCTAAAGCACAAAAACTTACATATTTACTAGCGTCCTGCAAATAGGCACAAAAACAAAATTAGTAAACATGCATGATCCTATATACAAGATCCTATATACAAGATCCTAATGCAATTCACTCATGAAATGCAACTACAGATCTGACTTCTAATATAAGACATGTGAATCATCTCAAAACATGAGGTGGCGCACAAAATCACATAATAAACGATTAAACCCAAAGATGTAAATTTAGCCAGATCTTAAAGCATAAAACATGGATGTAAAAAACATGTATATGATGACAAGCATGAGATACTACATATTTATAGAATATGGAAAGCAAAAAAAGAACGGGATAGAAAAAAGTGGGGCTGGGGAATTGTTACATCGCTTTGAAATATTACAAATCCAAATAAGGGAAGAGAGGAAAAATATTACAACAAAATTCAATCCTTACAAACACTCTCTAATTAAAAGAAAAACAATAAAAATAGATGCTACAGGGGGCCTCGGAGATTGTCGGAGACTGTTCTGCTCAACACCGGGAGGCTGCTGGGGTTCTGTCTAAAAGAGGTTGTCCGGTCGACCAAAAGATGAGCTTGTTGGCCAAAAAGGTGGCCGGTCAGGCAATTAGGCTAGGCCAAAAACTCCGTTTTATTCAAAAAAAAAAAAAAAAAAAAAAAACCAAAAATATGCAAGTGGCTCAACTAGCCACTTTCAGTTAGCTTACAATAAGTTTATAACATGAAATTGTAGCAAGAAAAACAATAGAAGAAAGAAAATGCAAGAAAGTAAAGGAACATGTAAAGTGTACAAAATTTATCTTCCAACGAAGGATTTGATTTTTAAACTTCCTTTTGATCACCTTCAAGTTTAGGAAGTGTGTTTTCAATTCTCAGGTTGAAAATTCTAAATTCTTATTGTAATATTGTTTTTGGATGGTTTAACAGTGTGTGTGTTAGGGGAGGGGAGTTGTTCAAATTCTCGATTTTTCTCTTAATTTCAACAACACTCACTCTCTTTTGATCAAGGCTCAAGAATATGGCTATAACAAATTTTATGGGTTTGGTTTGATATATTGAAAGATAGTAAATCAATGTATCTCTAAGCTTATAGCTAAATGTTGAAGACTTTTGTCTTTCTCTCTCTAGCTGTCAATTCACTCTCTCAATTCAATTCCATCATCTTCTCTTTAATTCCCTCCACTCTGATCCTCTATATAGTTAATGAATGGAATGCAAAGTGAAGGAGGTAAGAGGCAAGGATAATGTAGTGATAAGGGTGGTTGCCTTGGATGTTCCTTTTGGGGTAGAAGACAATCCCTATTTTGATAATGGAGGCCAAAGTAGGATATTGGAGGGGGCCTAGATACATCTCGTGCACGAATGAATGTATCATCAAAAGATCTGAAATGGCATGACCCACATGCTTCCATCAAGAATTCTACCGAAACTGCCCTACTCTTAGGCAAATTAGCCAACCGACCAATTTATTAGTTGGCCGAAAAAAAACTTGGCTTGGCTAGCCAAAATCTTAGCTAGCCGGCCAATTAATTGGTTGGCAGGTTAAAAAGTTTGCCAATTGGCTAAAATATTGGCCGTGGCTGACTATTTTGCATGAAACATAATTTTTCGACAGAATTCTGGTCCTTTCCTCCTAACTCCACATTGTTTCTTGCTCTATTTCTTGAAAAAATGTTTCATTTTGAAATTTAAAAGTAAGCCTCAAAACACTATGAAAATATTCAAAACAAAGTGCGGAAAAAAGGTTTCGAAAGAGAGTTTTGAACGAGATTTAAGCACTTAGCCAAAATAGGCTTAGGGTTAGAACTGAAACATAAATTCCATATTTCTTACTGAGAATTATGTGAGAAACATATTATGGTTTTCATAATCGGGTAATCAAAAGACAACACCAAAGTCTTAGGGTCGGTCAAAATGGGATGTCTACACCACTACAGAAGATTTTGACCAAATTTGAATTAGACATGTGACGATACCATTTAGGGGAATTAACCGAAGTAATGTTCACATTGGGTGACATAGTATCATGACATGCTCACGTTGAGGGGAATGAAAATTCAGAAGATGAAGAAAGAAAACATTTGTTAAGGAGAAACAACAAGACAAAAAGATATCAATGATACAATATAATTGTTATGTCCCAGGTTGTTGACCCAACTTGAGTGTACCTTTTTGGACTTATTGATCTACTTTCAGAGCCTTGAGCATCATGTGATGTGTTAGTGTTCGCGTATTGAACCTTGTCTAGCCTTTCTTCACATTTTTTAAGTTTCAGGCTTAAGAACATATCGAGTGAGTGTAGAAATGCCTTGAAAGAATTTTAGTCAACCTAGGCATTTCCACACGTGCGGCTTGGAGAGCCTGCATGTTTAGTTTTGTGCAGAATAAATTGGGGATTTTGGGTCAGGGCCTGCATGTACGATGGGTTATGCCCACACGTGCAACAAGGTTGCATTTTCAAGCCAAACCTACTACAATAAACCACATGTATAGTGGAGGGGTCTCGCACGTATGGTGAGGCACCTCCACACATGCCGCTTCTGTGTTTTTGTCTCATTTTTATGCATAATTGCTTCACCTGTTGAGCCCCTTCTCTTTTCTCATCATCTTTCTTCATTCTTTCTCTCTAAACTCTTTTTTTTCTCCATTCTCTCTAAAACACATCCAAACCCTCACAAATTCCTCAATTCTAGGAAATCAAATAAGATTTTGACCCTAGTTTTTTAGGCCAAATTGACGAGCTTGTCGAGGGTGTTGTTTTGAATTTAGGGTTTTTTTTCCTCTCTTTCTCCCCTGCTTCTTAAGGTAGGGACTTTCTTAACTTAATGCATGCATTTTAGAAAGATTATGCGTTATTTTGGATAGTCGTATTGTTTAAAAGATTAGGTTTTGATTAAAATTGATTGTAAGGTCCCGGTGTCCCATATCGGGAATGAAGGGGAGTTTCTAGGCTATAAAAGTAAAAACCTAGACCCTTATTTAGCATCAGGGCCTTTTCCCGGGTGGTGAGATCCCTAGCAGAACTCCCCAGTTAAGCGTGCTTAGGCTAGAGTAGTTTTGGGATGGGTGACCCATTGGGAAGAACATATTCGTGTGTGGGCGTGGCCCAAAGTGGACAATATTGATGACGTGTGAAGGGTTGGAGTGTTACAAATGGTATCAGAGCCGACTCTCCGAAGTACCGAGTTTAGGCCCCTGTCGTCTCTCAGTGCATGTGGGCAGGCTTATGAATTTTGAGAAGATCACACTTTAAATGTGAATCCCCAAATTTTTCACAAACCCTAGAAAATGTGAAAAT